TCAGGTACGGTGCTTGCCATCCTCAGCTCTCCTGTATGTTCTGTCAGGATCCAGGACACAGGGGTCCCCTCAGGCCCCAGCAGACAGAAAGAGGGCAAGGTCCGGATACAGCGCTCAATGAATCTCTGGCTCCTCTCATTGCCACCAAAATGCCAGAATTTATTCACCAGGGCAGCATGGGTGACATCCAAGGATGAGAGTTTAAACAATTCTTGGTTGCTGTGGAAATTCAAGAGAAAAGCAAAGTCCATGAGTATTTATTATGTCTGTTCATATCTCTGTTGTCTTGAGAGACAGACTAGGCAGAGGAAATAGCAAATGCAAGGTCCTGGAGTAGGGGGGAGCTTGCCATGACAGAAGGACAGAAAGAAGGTCAATGTCGTTGGAGAGAGTAAGCAGGGAGGACAAGACGGGTCAAAGAAGTTGACAGAGGCCTTGTGTATTTCAGATGAGAAATTAGCTGGTGGAATATTTTTAAGCAGGGGAAAAACGTAGTCCAAATTACATTTCTAAAAATGGTTATTCTGATTGCTTTGAATAACATGGATAGTAGAGAGGCCAGAGTGGAAGCAGGAAGAGAAGCTGGGAGGCTACTTCAGGAACAAGAGATGTGAGTAGTACAGAGTGACTTTTATCAAACTCACATGGCCTTGGGCTTGCCACCCTTAGGTGATAATTTCTTCACGTCCAACAGGGAAGGAATCATTTTCTTTATTGTCTCGGCTGGCATATAAAGAAAGCATTCTGTTTCCTCGACTTTGGAGGATTTCAGAGCTGCGAGATTTTGTATCGCCTCTTTCAGGGCGGGCTGTGTACCTTGATGGGATTAAAAGGAGAGATGAAACGATTTCCATATATTTTATGGAAAAGCGTCCTATTCCAGAGGAGTAGGAAGTGTCTGGGATTTACAGTCAGAAAACCTTGGTGCTGACTTGGTGCTGCCACTGCGTGACAGCGGTCAAGTCGTCCGAATTTGTGCATTTTACACAAGTGAGAGAGTGTTCAGAAATTCATTCGGCCACGATCATGCCGTTGGTGGTAAGACCAAGACCGGAACCAAAATTTCTGGGCTACATCATCATGCAGTTTTGATAACCACAGGAGATGAGTTCTTTAAAAAATAGCAGCCAACATCTATTCCCCAGTCCTCTTACATTGGATCTGCAAATGCTGTTTCCAGTTGATGACTTCTGGTGAGCCAAGGAAATTCTGACAGTTCTTGGGGTCACTGGAGTAGATCTGGTAAGTATTGGTGTAGTGATCGAGGTCATCTGTCATCTCCTGTATCGTCGGGGAAGGAGGAATAAAGGAAATTCCATGTATTTCATAACTGCAATGCTTTTTTTCTAAATTTCATTACACTGTGATATTACCGAGTACTAAAATATTGGTATTCTTGTAGGTGCATTATAATGATTTCTGAATCATTCAAATCATGAGATGAAGATGAGAGTTTCAAGTATTCGATTTATGATGGAAAACCGCGCAACAATATTTCCTGCCCAAATAGTGCATTAAACCAAACAATCCAAACAAAGACACAGCTCTTTAGAAAGCATTCTTCTATACTTCCATCATCCTCAATAGGAAGAAGAGAAACGCATTTGACAAGGAAAAGTTTCTGTTGCAAGAATAAAATTTACTATAGCTAAACAGCTGCAGAACGCAAAAGCTACACACGCGACAGTATTAAATTTAGTTACAGATAACTCTGGATGGAAATCTCCATCTGTACTTAATGAAGCCAAAGAAGAAGAAACCAAATTAAAAATGCTTCCTTAAAACAATACTATAGTTAGACAAGTTGTAGTTCCCGAAAAACTGAGAAACCATTTCTTTAGAAGATCCCCTTCAATTATGAAATAACAGATGAGATTATGACAAGGAAGAAATCACAGAAATATTACCACAACCCGTGCAGAATTAGAAAACTTTTTTAAATAGTTGGGAAATGCTGCTCAAAAGACACTCACAGGTCAGCAATGAGCCCACTAACATACTTTATTCCTTAAAATCACATTTAAGATAAAAGATCCAATAATTTTATTACAGTTTGGTTTTTATTATTTATATGAATATCTCCATTTGATGTCCTGCTTACAATAGTAGTTTTAAATAGTTTTTATTTGTATGAAAGGTATAATACTTGCATTTTGATAAATCTATAATTTCACTGGATGTTTGAAAATGAGCTTAGGAAGTTTCGTTTTTGAAATTTAGTTTTCGTTCGTTTTTAAATATTTCCCCCAAATACATATATGGAAACTCTAACATTATAAATTTGCTTTTGTAATCACCCTAACTCACTGTTCTGGGTACACCTTCTTATCTTTGCCCGTGTTATGTCCTCTTTGCCTTGTCGGCCTCGCGAAAATATAGTTATCTATATTTGGTGGAACTGCCACCAAGAAGCACCTCTAACCCTATCCTGTAACCTCCATCTTCAACCTCCACAATTTAATCAGCTTTCGCCTCTGCTATTTCTGTTTGTTGTGCATCTTCTAGTCTTGCATACTTTACACTAAGTTGTCACTTATTTGCTTATCTACCATTGCCACCAGGCTGTGAGCTCCTCGAGGACAGGGGCTTGTTCTCCATCCCTACCATTCATTTCTGTGTCTTCTGGGTCTACCACATTGCCAGGTACTTGGTAGGCATACGGCAAATAAGAGCATCTGCAATCCACATCTGGCACCTTACCTGCTCCTGAGGGCGGACAACCACTGTATTAAAAT